GATGCACAAGCGGCGCGGGGCATCCCAGAGGGGGGAGAGCCAGGTGGCGCTGCGGTCGTGCGAAGGGGGGGGAGGAGCGGGGCACCCTGAAACGCTGAGACCATGGTAACGGGTTGTGGTCCCGTGGCCGTCGTAACCGGAAGTTGGGCCGGCGCGCCCGTAGACTGAGGAAGGGCCTGACTCGTGGCGGTCGTCGAGCTAGGGGCGTGGACGGTCACCAAAATGGCCGGGTCGGGGGCGGCAGAGGAGGAAACTCCGCCGTGGCCACCCTGTCGGAGAGTTGGGGACCCAGACTGAGAGCCAGGAGAAGAGAGAGGATGAGGAGAGGAAGGACGACCAGCGTCTTGGAGTTGCCGCCGGCGGCAAGGGTCGCCACCTGCGCCTGTAGGGGCCCGAGGGTCGCGAGTTGCGCCTGGATGGGCGCGAGGAGGGAGGTGAGGAGGTTGTGTAGATCCCCCTGGGGCTGATGGCCCTGGTCCGCCGGCACGGGTGTGGAGCCCGTTGCCGTGGTCATCGCCGTGTCGACGGCGTGTGACGCACCGTCGGCCATGGGGAGATGACGGACCGGACTGGAGGGGGCCAGAGGAGGTCCGCGTGAGCGGAGGGCGTAGGGGGAAGTCCGCGGTAGAAAGCGGCGAACGGCGCTAGCAAGGCTAGCACGGGCGCCGTCAAAGGGGGAGGGGTGGTTCGGGTCCAGGGTGCCCGAAGAGGACGGGGAAGTAGGGGGGTTTTGAGGAACCCTAAGAAAACCCTAACCGAGGTTTAAGGCTAGGGTAGGGTACCGGTGACCTAATCAAGAAAGTAAAATAGCAAGCAAAGGGAGGGAGGGACGAGAGAAAAATGAATAAACAGTGATATTTCGAGAGGAAATAAAAATAAATAAGAAAATAAATAAATAATAAATAATTAAATAATTTAAAAAAATAAATAAAAGATGTGAAGAGAAACAATATTTATTTTTTTGAAATTTTCGGCAGCATTTCCCTACCCCGCACGGGGTCAAGAATGTGCCAAGGGAAAAGGAGAGACCGAGGTGCGCACACTAGAGATGCCGAAAATAAATACATAAAAAAAAATTTCAAAAAAATAAATAAGAAATAAAAATAAATAAATAAGTAAATAAGTGTGTGAGGAGGTGGGGAGAAATGGGTTATCTGATTTTTCAAAAATTTTGGCAGCATTTCGTTACCCCCATGGGGTCGAAGTGTGCCGAAAAGATTAAGTAAGAGAAAATCAGAAAATTTCGGCAGCACTTCGTTACCCCAACGGGATCAAAACGTGTGTCGAAAGCAAGAAAGGCTAACACCTAATCAGATTTAGGGTTGCCGCCAAGAATTTTCAGAATAAGTAAAAATAAATA